GTGAAGTGGTGTCCATTGGAGAAACGACACCACTATTAGCGCCCGAGTCTCGCGACCTCGAGCGCCTTCGCTTCGGCGATGGTTCATCTGACTCATCAGATGAACCAAAGATGCTGCGACGCAAAGCATCGTCCATGCCACGCTTGGCAGGCGGCTTGGATTCAATTGCCGTCGATACGGATCCGTCATCCGTATCAGGAGAGTACGAGACACCGAGCTCGTACTCTGTGAAGACACGAGTGTCTTCATGACCAGCGCCTGCATCACCAGGTGATACAGGCTGAGTCGATTCAGCAACCGATGGGACATCAGTTGCTGTAGTTTCTGCTTCGGCGTCCGCACAGAGACGTGCAGACGCGCTCTCGGCGGCCTTGCTCGCGCATCGCATGGGCTTGTTTACCATGCGATGAAATGTTGGAAAGTGGACGCGTACCAACAAGTGCAAACCCCGTCCCAAATGATTTGGGACGAGTATCCATTTAGTCAATCAGTCACTAAAGTGACTGATGGTTAAGGGGGGTGATGTAACGGGGTGAATCGTTACATAACAATTTATAAGAAATTGTTAATAGAATATAACTATAAGAGTTATATTCTCAGAATATTGTCATAAGGACAATATTCTGTAGCACTTCCAAGTAGTTCCTAATTGGTTGATATAGGCCATTATATCAACCAACGAAGACGCGCCACGACAGACGCACGCAATGAGTGGTGAGCAGATAACTGATTTACACATTTGTATTTAGACATAGTTAGATGAAGATAAATAGTGATTTATTGCAGACATTAACTATTATAAATACAGTTCTACTTTTTACTCTAACCAAGTACTCGCTTCTTCTTACCGTCTTCCTCTGCACGTACGAGTGTACGTGAAGTTACGAGGCACCGCCTTATTCTGTTATCAGAATAAGTAGCTTGTACTGTCACCAGTACAAGCTTCAGGGTGCCCCGTTACACAATGCATGAAAGCGAGTCTCGAGATATGCCATGATTGCATATGATTCGAACGACCTCGCTTTTTGACGATAACCACTGGAAAGCCCGTTCAAGTTTTGACCCTGCGAGTGCAGTGAAGTCACCAGTCTACCAACTGCATTCGCTACCTTTTTCCCCGTCGATGTAGGAATGGGAGGGCTCGCTCGCTCTTCACCTAGCGTGGATTTGAGATCCCCCAGCAGCCGCTTGGCATGCACGCTATCGTAAGGACCATCAGAAAAACGGACACTGGCCGAGAGGTTGAACGCCGTCAGCAAAGGGCGGGTATTTTGGTAGAGTTCGTGCTGCGTACGATTACGGATGTCGATGTCATGAGCGCGAAAGTGGTGAGACGCATCTTTAGTTGCTGTCGTGGTCTTTCACGAGGGTGTGGGATCAAATTTCGAAGTGACCAAGAAGCTTCACTCGCACAGCTATCCGACGACATCTGAAAGAGCCTTGACCGTAAGCTCTCCAATCCTTTTGTCGACTCTTGCATACTTCTTTCGAATGGCTTTCAGCGCGACTTTCCTCCTGATTCTGGTTAGAGCCAGCACAGTCGAAACAGGGCAAAGGACCTCATTGAAGGCCGACGAACAGGAAGCGCGCAGGACCCGATTCAGCTCGTGACTCTGCACCTAGGCGACCGTGGATTGCACTGATTTGGAACGGATCAGCACCTGAGCTCACGTCTGTTCTCACAGAAAACGGCGAACGATAGGTCACAATCTTTAGAAATATGGTCTCGTCTTCGTGGTGCACCCTCTGATTCACAGCTTCCTATTGCTAGGCTAGGCCGTAACCTCACGTCGCTCCTTTGCAAAGCACTCAGAAAAGCACGCCTTCCGATATCACGAAAAGTCTTCACCCGACCACTCATGACTTTCGCAAATCAGCTTGACGGAAACGCTAGAGCCGATGTACGGCAAAGCGCTGCGCCCAGACAACCACGAGGCGACCATCGTGACAGCCTCACATCCTGTCAAACCCGGAGAAGGTATCGGGTCACAACCCGGCAAAACACTGATTTGCACATGCCAGCTCGGGGCGATAGCGTAAAGAGAGCATCGAACAATAGAATCGACAATCGAGGACGTTATGCTTTATGCGTGCATCGGGTGCGTTTGGAGCGAGAAGGATCTAGAGGGTTACCGTTTCTACTGTAGCCAGTCACGATCAGCCCCAGGGTGACCCGGCGTTAACTCACGTTAGTCCAGAGACCTCGCACATAGCTGAGATCATGCATCAAAACAATCGGACCTCTCAAATTGGGTAGCTGATCCTTGTTGATGTGGCGTCACCTAAGGCGGCTCACCCTCGATCCTTGCGAATGTAACGTGGCCATGCTCTGATGCAAAAATCAAGCATGCCTGCAGGTTACGTGAACCTTCTGATCGAAAGTCTGTGACCACGCGAGACATGCGAGGTCTCGATGGTGTGGCGAGGTCTACCGAAGGAGACAGGCGGCGTGCGTGCGTGTTCAGCTCAGCTTACACCTGTTGACGACGCCGTTTAGACATTGAGAGAGGGTCGAAGAAGGGACAGCTTGCGGCCTGCGGATCCAAGCGGATTAGTACCAAGCTTTTTTGCATCGGGTGTTGATACGTACAAGGGCAAACTTTGCAGCGCGGGACACAAGTGATGGTCAAAATCAGCACACATTGAACTGCAAAATGAATGACCTTTCCACTCAAAACTCGTGCAAGACTCGACAAGCGCGTGCTTTCGCTCACCCGTCTACAGTCTCGGTGCCAAGAGACCCGCGTCGCGTGCACTCTTTCAGCGTTTTCGTCTTAGCGATGGAAGCAAACCTATCGCTTGGATCTAACACAGCTGTAATCGTCGTTGTACGGATTGATCAATTTCTCATTGCTTTGTTCCCTCAATTTCGGCGTGCCGACTGAGATGCGATGAACAACTGAATGACCTGCATGAATCTGATATGCATACGTTACGACTGAATGATCTACCTCGATTGGCCGTCGCTCTCTAGTCTCAGCAGCGGACTTCCATGTCTATCAGTGGAAGACGCGCAACAACAAGTCACTGCGGGCTTCATTTCGAGCCGTGTACATTGATTCGAGCCGTATCCTGCCATACACGCTCTGCGTTTGCGTCCCTGATTTCCTCGCTCATGATATCAGTGAAGCAAATCTCGATTTCGTGCAATGGAATCTGTAGCATTTCCTCCTTCGGTTCATCGGTGTACGGCCGTAACCTTCGCGATTCGATAACTTGTTTACTACTGGCGAGGAGACAACTGCTCCTGGTCAGTATAACACCTACCTTGTTTACTGTTTCGGACACCCTTGTACCAAATCTTGCAAAACAATGTCGTGAATGACCTGATGATAAAAGACTACAACCATACGGCAACGATTCGTCGCGCTTGCAACCAGCTGGACCGCCGTCCGAACCCGCCGCTTTGCACTCTTGCAGAGAGGCCAGCTGAACCAGAAGGAGATGCAATTATGGCCAGCGTCAGTAGATGCGACTGACATGGAGGTGCCGAACTCGACACAGAAGCACTGCAATTTATGGAGAATCAAAATACATTTTGTCGTTCTTGCATGTGTTGGTTCACCTTTTTGCGTCGTTTCGTTGGCTCAACTCGTATCGCCTGCGTTAGGGAATTAGTCGTCCCAGTTCTCAATCGCCAAGGTTGCTCGATTGTTGTCGAAGATGCGCTAGGAGTAGCTTCCTGCAGCAATGGTCCTTACGCTGACATACCTAGCTTCGATCCGAAAAGTCTATCCTCACCCACAAAGTGTGTCTCCGATCTGTAGCCTCGACAGGACTTACTTTTGAGGGTACGTTGTACATATCTACAGCGGATTCCAGTCTGGTCACATCTACCACCGGGCTTTGATTTTCTGGCTGCTGTACTGTTTGTACACGTTAGTAGTCGTGACATGGATGCAGCAAAACCTTCCTACCAATTATTGTCGGTTGATGAGTCCACTCGACCCAAGTCACGTGCCTGATGATTGCAGCATGCGAGGTACGTTTGCATTCTGCAATAGCTGCACTTCCCTGCGCTGTCAGGTTCGTTTGGTTTGTTGCAGTGAGTTCGGAGAACGGACGTGCGTGTCACTGACAAATTGAGTCATCGACGCAGGAGAAAAGGTAGAAAGACTCCTCGTGGCACTCACGCATCAGAGATCTGCGTACGCAGTGATGCATACAGCTAATGCACTTTCTGGATGACTGGCACGTATACGTTGACGTCCAGCGAGTCGAATCGCAGTTTCGCGGACAAATGAAAGTCATGGCATTCGCGTCTCTTCTTCTCTGCCTTGCTTCGGTATATCGCACGTAGACGGACTGTCTAACGAGAAAGATAGTCGCAAGCAGGGGCGTTGCGCAGGCGTCGCGACGGATCTGATTGTGGCGACGTAGATAATCTAGTCAAGAGGATGTCTGCAAATCGACTAAAGGTTGCTGCAGCGGATTTTTGTGCACTCTGTCTGCACTGCACAGCACAGAGAGCTCACACGCGACTCTCAGCTGTCTGATAATTACTTACTACTACATCCAGGTATTTTGTGCCTACAGACAGCACAGTCTCGACACTCAGTAGTGCCTTTCTGATAACAAGGAAGACGTGCGGATCCCACTCAGCCTGGCAGGGCGAGGTTCCAAAGTCCGAAGTCGTCCTCGGGACATCCGTTTTGTCCAATCGAAATACGTCTCTAGGGCTTTTGACAGCTCATTCGCCAATATTCGTGTTGTAACTTGAGCGCGAGGCGAAGAGAAAACGAAGCGGAGAGACCGGAGAGAACGAAGCAGAGAACACTTGCTCACTTGAGGGAGGATTCGAAAGTGATTGATTTATAGGTCTTAACTTCTGCCTACCCTAGACTGCATCCAATCACATGGTGCATCTAATCAACCTGATTTACACGCGTCCAATCATCCTACGCGTCTAATCATCTCTGAGGTAATTACCGATGTAAAAACTATCTCGTAAGAACTACGCGCTAGGTTCGGATTGTACCGGTAACCCTCAATACGCCCCCTCAATCCGAACACGCACGGATGCCAAGCGCCGCCGTCAAGTCCTTGTGACGCGGTCCGTGAAGTCCCTTCGTCATGATGTCCGCCAACATCAACGTCGTCTCGCAGTATTCAAGCTTCACTTCGCCGCGCTTGACTTCATCACGGATGTGATGGTACTTGATGTCGATGTGTTTAGCGCGGCCGTGGTTGACCGGATTCTTCGTCATCTTGATGCACGACTGGTTGTCTTCACGGATGACGAGCTCGGGTCCTTCTTCGTTTGCAGCCGCCATGATCTCGCACAGCAAGCGATTGATCCACTTGCCTTCTTGGATCGCCAGGCTGAGCGCGATGTACTCCGCTTCGCTTGTAGACAGTGACACACTTGGCTGTTTCTTGCTGCCCCAACTCACCGGAGCACCCAATAGCATGAAGACGTAGCCGGACGTCGATTTGCGATCAGCAAGGTCACCGGCCCAGTCTGCATCTGAATAGCCACGAAAGTCGATCTTCGCACTTGGCTTGTAGCAGATTCCATGCATCTTGGTGCCTTGTAGGTAGCGGAAGATGCGCTTGACTGCAACCCAGTGTTCTTCTTGGGGTTTCTCCATGAACCGTGACACAAAGCTTACAGCATAGGCGATGTCCGGTCGCGTTGCAGTCGTCAGATGCATCAAAGCACCCACTGCTTCACGGAATGGGACATTCACCTTGCTTGCAGAGTTGCTTGGAACCAGTCGAGAGCTGACGTCCACCGGACTTGCCACAGCCTTGCACTCATCCATTCCAAAGCGCTTGAGGACATCGTCGACATAACGGCGCTGACACATAGTCACGCTGCCATCTTCACCGTCCAATAACTCGATCCCAAGAACAAAGGCACACTTGCCGCTGTCCGTCATCTCGAAGCGTGTCTTGAGGTCGTTCTTGGTGCGCGCAATCATCTCGAGCGAGCTTCCAGTCACCAAGACATCGTCCACGTAGACCAGCACAAAAACACAATGGCCTTCCGAAGTCATGATGTAGAGACATGGATCGAATCCCGACGCTTGAAAACCAATCGAGCGTATGAATTCGTCGAAGGTCTCGTTCCAAACACGCGAGGCTTGCTTGAGACCGTAGATCGCCTTGATCAGCTCGAGACAGTCGAAATCACCTTCCATCTTGACGCCTTCCGGAACAGCGCAGAACACCTTCTCCTTCATCACTCCATTCAGGAACGCAGTCACCACATCGAGCTGGTCGAGGGGCCATCCAAAGTGCTTGGTAATGGCGATGACCATTCGCAGCGTCACATACTTGACCACGGGCGAGAACGTCTCCGTGTAGTCAATGCCATACTTTTGGCGAAAACCCTTGGCCACAAGTCGTGCCTTGTATTTCTCGATCGACCCATCCGCCTTGCGCTTGATCTTGAAGACCCACTTTGTGCCAATGGCGCTTTGTCCGTTGGGTAACTTGGCCGCACGAAAGACACCGCGAAGCTTCATCGAATCGAGCTCCGCATCAATTGCCTTGCGCCAGTGTACTTGGTCCGGGCCAGATACTGCTTCTTCAAATGTCGACGGCTCCGAAAAATCGACCGCTGCTTCGACGGCGTTTGCACTCGCATGCCAAAACGCGGAGGAAGTCGGTGTGTCATGTTGTTCCTCCGACTTCCTTTCTTCATCTTCGTTGGCTCGACGTGAAGAGAGGTCATCCGGCGCACTTGACTCTTCCAATCCGGGTCGTTGGCGCACTGCTCGGGGCATGCTTGCGTCGTCATTGTCGTGACTGGGTTGGGCCTTGCGCTTTCCTGTTTGTTTGAAGTGTCTCGGACGCGGTTCTTCATCATCAAGATCGATCGATTCGAAGTCCAGGCCATCAACATCGTCATCGGAAATCAGCATCGACATTCCAAAGGCCGACTCATCGAAGTTGACATCGCGACTTATCATCACCTGCCCCGCTTCGATGTCGTAAACTCGATACGCCTTGGACACTTCTTCGTAGCCCAAAAACAATCCAGCCCGGGCCTTGGGATCCCACTTGAGTCGTTTCTCCTTCGGGGTCAAGATGTATGCTTGGCACCCAAAAACGCGCATGTGCTTGACACTTGGCTTAGAATTGTAGACAATCTCGAACGGTGTCTTGTGTGGAATCTTGGGTGACGGCAAACGGTTCTTCACATAGACGGCCGTCATTGCCGCTTCAGCCCAGAAGCACTTGTCCAACTTGGCATGATGGAGCATGCTACGACCGATGGTGACGATAGTTCGAATCGCGCGTTCAGCAGTTCCATTGGCTTGATGTGCGTATGGCACCGTGGTTTGTTGCTCGATGCCTTCGACTTCGTAGAAATCTTGAAGCGAGTTCGTCGCAAATTCGCGGGCTCCATCGTGTCGCACAAATTTGACCTTCTTGTTGAACTGCGTCTGTATCATCGTGATGTACTTCTTGATGCACTCTTCGCTCTCTGACTTGGAATGCAGACAAAAACCCTTCATGCATCCGCTGGCTTCATCCACGATCAGCAGCAGATACTTGCTGCCACCCAGAGATTTTTCTTCCATGGGTCCGCAGATGTCGAAGTGGAGCATCTCGAAGGTGTTGTAGGTGCGCTTGTCACGGTTGCTCGGGAATGGTTTTTGGACCATCTTCCCTTCTTGGCATCCTCGACACACACTTGATCCATTCGGCTTGGAAGGGATGTGAGCGTCCTTGATCATGTGGCTTGTCACCATCCTGCGAAGCACGTCTACTGGAGCATGGCCCATTCGTGCATGTAGATCAACAGCGTTGCTGAGTGATGTCGCATTGGCCGATCGCTGCGTCGTGCGAAGCCAGTAGAGTCCGTCTACAAGATCCGCAGCTGCCACCACTTGATTGGAATCCTTGCGAGCGACGTACATCGTATCCCCCGTCAAACACCACTTGGAAGTTGCCGTGCTTGTTAATCTGCGGCACCGAGAGCAGATTTTTGCTCATGCTGGGCACATAGAGCGCGTTCTTGATCTCGATCTCGCGCTCTTCCCCGTTTGGCAGAATCACCTTTTCCACGATGGTCCCCACACCTTTGATGGCCGCCTTGTTGCCATCAGCCACCAGGATCTCGCCATCATTGCCTTCGACCAAGCTTGCAAACTTGAACTTGTCGTGGCAGATGTGATGTGTTGCCCCGCTGTCAACGGCCCACATTCCTATTCCATTCTAGTTCGTCGAAACTCCGCATTCGAACGAAACTGCAAACGCCACTCGATCGTAGCTGTTGCCTTCATCATAATGTCGCCACTGGACATTGTTTGCCCCGCGTCCACGACCATTGCCGCCGCGTTGGGCTCCTCGACTTTCATCCTTTTGCTTCGTCCAGCAACGCTCTGCCGTGTGCCCCACCTTGCCGCAGTATGTGCATCGGTAGGGCTTGCGCTCGGTACTGAATGCCTTTGTCGCATCTTCAGTCTTCACCGTTGTCGTTGCCGTTGTCATCTTTTCGCCTTGTCGCTTGATGTGCTCGTTAGTCAGCACCTTGACCACATCTTGCGTGCGCAGCTCTGCATTGCTCATCTCCAAGTTCAGAACCACGTTCTCGAAACTCTTCGGGAGACTGAGCAGCAAGCAGATCGCAATGTCTTCGTCTTCCATCTTGGCACCGATGCTGCTGAGCTTGGCGCCGATGTTCAAGACTTCGTTGCAATGGTGCAAGACGTTGGCACCTTCCGCCATCTTGATGCTGAACAGCTGGCGCTTGAGGTAGATGCGTCCCGCCTTCTGCGACCCACCATAGAGCATCTTCAACCGCGACCACGCTGTCCATGCTTCTTCACAGTTGTCGACCACATGGTGGTAGTCGGCGTCCATGTGGAGCAACATCAACCCGAACGCGATGTTGCTCGCCTTGACGTACTCGTCGGAAGCTCGCGTGTCGGTGAAGGTTGGAGACGTTTCGCGGTTCACGACGTACCAGACTGACTTCGTCAGAAACACGCCGCGCATGTAGCGACACCAGGTTGAGTAGTTGTCCCCATCGAACTTATCGATGGAGACACTGGCCGAGGTGTTGTTGGACGACATGGCGCTTGGGCTCATAACCTGTTGTTGATTGAGCGCGAGGCGAAGAGAAAACGAAGCGGAGAGACCGGAGAGAACGAAGCAGAGAACACTTGAGAAAACGAAGCGGAGAGACCGGAGAGAACGAAGCAGAGAACACTTGCTTGAGGGAGGATTCGAAAGTGATTGATTTATAGGTCTTAACTTCTGCCTACCCTAGACTGCATCCAATCACATGGTGCATCTAATCAACCTGATTTACACGCGTCCAATCATCCTACGCGTCTAATCATCTCTGAGGTAATTACCGATGTAAAAACTATCTCGTAAGAACTACGCGCTAGGTTCGGATTGTACCGGTAACCCTCAATAATTCGCTTCGGCAGAGTGTACCCACCCACCCACTCCACGCACGCACCATCACGACATGTCGGCGGATCTGTTTGCAGACTGGAAGAAGGAAGAAGCGTCGGTCCCTGACGTCCGAAGCGGCGCTGGGGGCTCTGGAGGAGGCGCCTACGACGGCGCTCTGTACGCGGCTGGTGCTGTGACGAGTGACGGGAATCCTGCTGGCGGCCGCAGCAGCAGCAACAACAATGATGACTTTGACTTTGAGACGGTCGGTGACGACGACGCGTCGAGGCTCACGAAGCCGGAGAAGCCCCTGTTTGAACTTCAGGAGCACGGTCTTAAGATCTCCCGTCGCAAGGGGTTCACGCTGATCTGCATGGGCGTGGGCAATGGCGTACTGGCCATGGGTTCTCAAGAGGGCGTCCTTCTCCGCTGTACGACGGAAGCCACCGACAGCAACGGGACGATCGAGGAAATCATGATTGAGCCACGTGTAGCCATGTCTAGTGTGTTCATTGATCCCACAGGAGCCCACGTGCTCGTGTCGATGGAAAATGGCTCCAACTTTTACTTGCACACGGGATCGACGCGTCCAAAGAAGCTTCTCAAGACCCAAGGAATGCAGTTTACGAGCGTAGCGTGGGACCGCCAGTCTGGATCGCCAGAAGCGTCGGAGCCTATACTGATTGGAACTACCTCGGGTGCAGTGTTTGAAGCAGCGTTTGATGGAGGCAAGGAAAAAGCGGTGACCAAAGTGTTTCAGATTGCCAACCAGGGAGCAATTGCTGGCATCGCTTTCGAGCACTGGCATCTGCGATCAGGAGAGAAGCGACACTATGTCATGCTCACGACGTCGGCATCAGGAAAGAGACCGACGCGTGTGTTATGAGTGGAGGTTGAGGTGGCTTTGAAGCCATGTTCCAAGAGTACACGAGTCCGGATAAGCTACGTTTCCAGGAAATGCCGGGGGACATGACGACAGCAGAATTGCGGTTTTATGTCAAACAAAGCCGTGAACGCGCAAAAGGCTTTGGCGTACTAACGGGTGAGGGAGTGTACCATGGAGATTTCGTGTTCGGACTGTCGAGCACGATGGAAAACGTGACGACAGGCACAGGATTGCTAGCGTACCCTAGTAAACCGGAGAAGCCTTCGGACGGTCGTGGATCATGGACACCGCCGATTTCGATGGCAGTGACCCAGTACCACGTGGTTCTGCTGTTCGCACGCCATATTCAAGTCGTGTCGAAGCTGAGTGGCGTGGTTGTGATGGAAGAATCGTTCGACGCGCGAGTAGGCAATGTGAACGGCATTGTTGTGGATGACACGTTTAACACAGTGTGGATCCACTCAAGCCGTCGTATCTTGGAGGTAGTTATTGTTGACGAGGACCGCGATGTATGGAAGCTATTCTTGAGCAAGGCTGTGATGGGTAACGGTGACGATCGCGATTTTGAGCAGGCCTTGGCTGTCTGCCGCAATGGATGGGAACGTCAGCGCGTGCTGACAGCACAAGCAGACAAGCTCTTCGATAAGGGGAAGTTTGATCGTGCTGCTGTTATGTACGCGAAGACAACGCGTTCGTTTGAAGAGGTGGCGCTGAAGTTTCTCGAAATCGAGAGTCGTGACTCGTTGCTGTTATTCCTGCTGCAGAAGCTGATAGGCTTGGGAAGTGACGAGAAGACACAGCAGACTGTCTTGTGCTCATGGATCGTTGAACTGTTTCTAGATAAGTTCAATGTGCTGAAGGGGAGTGTGCAAGATGTTGATGCGCATGCAAACTTGCTGTTCGAGTTCAAGCAATTCCTGCAAGATCAGAAGAGTCATCTCGATCCGGCCACGACTTTCAATTTAATCCTTAGCCACGGCCGACCGGATGAGCTTGTGTTCTACGCAACTCTTATCGAAGATTACGGAAAAGTGATTACGTATCATGTGGACCGCGGCGAGTACGGAGCTGCAATCGAGTTGCTTCGTAGCGTAGAAACGTCGAACGTGGAAGAGCTGTGGTACAAGTATTCACCCGAGCTTATCATTCATAAGCCGAAGGAGGTATACGAGGCATGGCTGGAGGCCGCTACACTGAACCCGACGCGTCTCATTCCGTCAATTGTGCGTCATGTGCACCAGAAGAGCGATGCGGGCGCGGAATCGGCCAGCACTACAACAAAAAAGTCGCTCCGTTTTGGATATGGCCATTCGGTTTCTGAAGTTTGCCATCAAGCAGGGCAACCGCGATCCGACGATCCACAACTACCTGTTATTTCTGCTGGCCAAGCACCCTGACGAGCGCTTGCTCATTAGCTTCTTGCGCAAAAGGCACAATGGCAAGCATCTGTTTGACATTGCCTTTGCTCTGCGCCTTTGCACACAGAACGAGAAGAACCGTGCTTGCATTTACATCTACTCTGCGATGGGGCTATACCAGGACGCCGTGGAAAAGGCACTGCAAGTCGATGTGAAAATTGCCAAGGAAATGGCTGGCATGCACGAGGATGATGAGACTCGCAAGAAACTGTGGACGCTGATTGCCAAACATACGATCGACGCTGGAGGTGAGATCAAGGACGCCATGAACATTTTGAAGGAGAGTGATTTGTTGAAGATTGAGGATATCCTGCCTTTCTTCCCTGACTTCGTCCTGATCAACGATTTCAAGAAGGAGATTTGCGAGTCGCTCGAAGTGTACAATGACCGCATTGAACAGCTGAAGGAAGAGATGCAAGACTACACCCAGTCGGCCGAATTGATTCGTGCTGACATGCAGCAACTGCGCAAACGTTGTGCTGTCGTGTCCGGCAACCAACGCTGTGAGCTCACCGGTCAGAACATCCTAGGCAAGGAATTCTACCTTTTCCCGTGCTCCCACGCTTTTCACGCTGGCGCACTCCGTCAAGAGATGCAAAAGCATCTGAATAGTTTTCAGCGACAAACGGTAAAGCAGCTTGTTCAGAAACTCAATGAGCTTTCCACTGAAATGCCGGCGAGCACGAACTTTTTCCAGCGACCGCTGTCAGCCTTCCCTTTTCTCAACTTGTCGTCGACCGAGAAGGAAGCGATGACGCCCGGTTCCGAGGGAAGCAGCGCCGCGACAACCGCAAAGGCAAAAAGTGGTGCGAAAGAGCAGTCCATTGCGCAGGAGCGTGAGATGGTGCAGCAAAAGCTGGACGAGATCATCGCGTCCGAGTGCATGTTCTGCGGTGAGGTAATGATCAAGTCGATTCACACGCCTTTCATCACACCGGAAGACGAGGCGAACGAAGGCAGCGAGTGGGCCATTTGATGGCAGCATGGCGATTGACCTGCTTTTGAGAGGACGGGTAGCGCAGGATCAAGAGTAAGGTCCACGAGGCAACACGCAGACACACGTGCGAGCATTTGAGATGTGAAAATGAGATGGAATTTGAGCGAGCTTACCTGTCAGCATCTAGTGTTTTTGCTGCCATATAATATCTGGCGCTGGGTTGTGATGCTTTGCGCTTGTGGCAAGCTGGATGAATCGAAGGACGATGCCGATCCAGCCCGGGTTCGAACTCTACCCGAGACTACTTCTCGAAGCGGCATACAACGTGGGTGTGGCTGATGAAGTTGGTAAGTTGGCGTCGGTCTTATATGTTGTGACCGAATTGATGCGTTTCGGTGTATTCCAGGCAAACCACACCGTCGGTACGAGATTATATTCAGTGATGTTCGCAGGCGAATGAGCTAGTAAGATTCAGTCAAGATCCGTCGTTGAACGGTCCCTGGACAGTAATGCCGTTGTCGTAACGTGCTTGGTCACTGATTCTACAGCTGACGCACAGCAGCAGTTCGTGACATATTACCTGCGCTCGAGCTTATCGGCTTCACAAATCAGGTAAGTTTAACGTTGCTATTGTTTGCGCTGACAGCTTGAGACAAGAGGGCTTCACTTTAGGTCACGAACCCGTTATCCATCGGACAAGTTGTGAAGAAGTTAATCACGATTAGAATGCAACGCAAGGTGTGATCGCTGAAGAAACTGATCAGGAAGAGCTGCACGCTTATGGATGGCTGCACGACCTGGGGCAACAGTCTTTGCTACCTTGACAAGCGTGATGCGGACTATGCGATCGCGAGCATTGCAGCACATTGAACGGTACGGAGGCGAAGTGGCATGCACGACTCGGTCTCGACGACTTCAAGGGTGTAGCGCTTGTTGAGGATCATGGTCTTGCAGACGATGTGCGCGATTTCGACAAGAAGCGAGGAGCTTGTGCGACTTGTCGTGGAGCAAAGCGACGAACGAGTCACGAGTCAATACTGGATAAGCACCGATTGAAAACACCGACACTGTACAACTGGTGTTGAGATCAAGATAGGCACGGAGCCTCAGCCTATCAGCTGAATTTATTGCAAGGAGTCGAGGGCAGATGCTGCACCACTATTCTTGAACAACCTTGTTAGTAGACGAACTCATCGCTTTCTCGCGGTCTTCACTGGCGTCCATCGGGTAATTAAAACACTGACAAGTTTACAGATGTGGCATGCTTAACCGCCGATGCTGAATTCACCGTCGAACACAAAAACCCGCTTACGAAACTCTAGTGGCGTATCGCACACAGTCGATAATGTACGACACATCAGTCATGGTCCAGGCTACCAAACGTCAGGCAGTTGTAGAAAGAGAGCTGTACAAAAGAGACAAGGCCTGTAACGGGGCACCGACGACAACGTACTGGTCAACCAGCACGAAGTTATTTTCCACTGACAACAGTGAAGGCCAGTGCCATGCTAGGTGTAGACACTAGGCAGAGGGAGGTTACGGTTTTACTTTTACCACGACTAGAGGTGAAACTCTAGTCGTTGTAAGTGTAACGGGGCACCCTGAAGCTTGTACTGGTGACAGTACAAGCTACTTATTCTGATAACAGAATAAGGCGGTGCCTCGTAACTTCACGTACACTCGTACGTGCAGAGGAAGACGGTAAGAAGAAGCGAGTACTTGGTTAGAGTAAAAAGTAGAACTGTATTTATAATAGTTAATGTCTGCAATAAATCACTATTTATCTTCATCTAACTATGTCTAAATACAAATGTGTAAATCAGTTATCTGCTCACCACTCATTGCGTGCGTCTGTCGTGGCGCGTCTTCGTTGGTTGATATAATGGCCTATATCAACCAATTAGGAACTACTTGGGAGTGCTACAGAATATTGTCCTTATGACAATATTCTGAGAATATAACTCTTATAGTTATATTCTATTAACAATTTCTTATAAATTGTTATGTAACGATTCACCCCGTTACATCACCCCCTTAACCATCAGTCACTTTAGTGACTGATTGACTAAATGGATACTCGTCCCAAATCATTTGGGACGGGGTTTGCACTTGTTGGTCCGCGTCCACTTTCCAACATTTCATCGCATGGTAAACAAGCCCATGCGATGCGCGAGCAAGGCCGCCGAGAGCGCGTCTGCACGTCTCTGTGCGGACGCCGAAGCAGAAACTACAGCAACTGATATCCCATCGGTTGCTGAATCGACTCAGCCTGTATCACCTGGTGATGCAGGCGCTGGTCATGAAGACACTCGTGTCTTCACAGAGTACGAGCTCGGTGTCTCGTACTCTCCTGATACGGATGACGGATCCGTATCGACGGCAATTGAATCCAAGCCGCCTGCCAAGCGTGGCATGGACGATGCTTTGCGTCGCAGCATCTTTGGTTCATCTGATGAACCATCGCCGAAGCGAAGGCGCTCGAGGTCGCGAGACTCGGGCGCTAATAGTGGTGTCGTTTCTCCAATGGAAACCACTTCACAGCGAGGTGCCAGTACTTCTGTCGGCACGTCGCAGGAAGAGCGGGACCGCAATGTGTTGCGTCTCGCTCCAGAAAAGAAGGCATGGATGCCTCCTAAATCTGTCATGGATCACTTGTCGGCGACGACGAGTGATCGTTATCGAACACGATTGTTCGATTCGTCGAGGATTCATCACCTTGACCCCAGCGCGAAAGACTATCGCGCTGAACATGAGTTCTTCATCGATGCTTTCTTCAGACATCGATGGTACAGTGGGAATCACAAACGTGATGGTCCCTCACTACTTCAGGCGTGGAACGCCTACATCCATAATCTCGAGGATGTAGGTCGTGACGCTTGGAACGACAAACTTATCAAAGCTCGTGATAAGTTTGAAAAGCGAACCCCGACAGGTGCACGCTACAAGCTGCATCGTCTGTCAAGGGAGAAAGGATTACCCTGCCTTTCTTGGGGAGACTCGTGCCCATGTTGTGTGAACAACTCTGCACGAGCACCTAAGGAGGCTTACCTCCTTACCAGCCCGTGGTGGCGCGTACGTGTCTCTACTGAGATGTACGAAGGGATTGACAACCTGAAATCCCTTTACGACCGTGCCGGGAAGACTTTCTCCGGCGGTCCTTCTGCGGCACAGGATGTGTCGCGTCGTACTGCTCGACCAGACCCAGTACGTCAACCATCAATTGGGAGCGGGGCTCCCAAGAATCCCAGGACGGGGGATAGCCGCGCCACCGGACGAGGTAACTCGTCCGACGTCCGTTCACGTCGCGGTGGTTCAACAGCTGCTCTACTAGATAGCGCTGGCCACCGCGAGAGTCCTCTAATGGAGGTGGAGGAGGAGGAAAGACGCTCTCCACACGATCATGTGGATCGGTGTGTTCCCGAGAGCTTCTTTGATCGCGTAACGCAAGGGTTACGCGACGATCTCGAGCATGAGCGGAATAGGCGTCTCCAGATGGTGGACACTGCCTCAAAGCATCGAGCTGAGTTTGCCTTTGCTCAGCTTGAGAACGAGAGATCTCTGACATCTCTTCGTGACGAGCTAAGGGTAGCTCGTGGGATTGTTGATCGGTCTCGGGCTGAGATAACTGCTCTTCAGACCCTTGTTGATGCCCACCATCGGGAGCACAAGGCTCTCTGCGAGATGCTTGAGCGCAAGGGCGTTCTTCATCGGAAGAAGCAGCGTACTGATGGTACGGCTTAAGCCGACCAACGTAAAACGTGGGATGCGTTCGCATCTTACGTGGTAACTCGATCGTGTATGCATTGCCTAGGCGGTGCAATACACGAAATGGGCCAATGTACTTGGGTAGTAGTTTACTGCTACCCAAGTTAGTCACTACATGTTTTGGTAGATTAACCGTAGACAGTAGGACTAAGTCACCTTTATTAAATAAAAGAGTGTTTGCCCTTCCATTCTTGTCAGCGTTTTGCTTTTGCTTATCCACCGCTTCGGCGATGGAGTCTTGCACAAAACGGACTACCGTTTCACGAGCCAGTATGAACTCATCTGATGACTCGTTAGCTTCAGTGTGCTGTGAGCGCACTGCAGCGACAACAACCTTTTCTTCAGTGAGGGCTTCCGCACTCTCACTGGGATCATTGTCTTCAGTGAGGGCTTCCGCACTCTCACTGGCATCATCTTCTTCGATATCGATGTTATCGATATCGGCATCAAACGCAATGACTTCTTCGTCAGAGCGTGATGAGCGTGAACCAAATCGGTTTTTGCTCGCGCGAGTCCCTCCCCCCTTCAAACCAGAGTTACACTCTAGTAAGGTGGGTACACGCGGATGGCGCAAGCCATTCACGTAAAACGGTGTATGTGTCGTGGACGCATGCACCGAGTTGTTGATGGCAAACTCTACCATCGGCAAAAACTCACTCCAACTCTTAAAGGAGTGTACGTATCCTCGAAGTATCTCTTCAAGGACACGATTGGCACGTTCCGTCTGACCATCTGACTCTGGATGATCAGATGTTGACATCTTCAAGCGCGTTCCGAGTGATTTGAACACGGAACGCCAGAAATCAGCAGTGAATCGTGGATCTCTGTCTGATACGAGTTCACGGGGCAACCCATGAAGTCGGAAGATGGTGTCAATAAAGACACAAGCACAGCCACTTGCCGTGATTGTCTCTGGTACAGCCACAAGGTGTACCATTTTGCTGAATCTGTCAACAAATACGAGAATACCCGTATTCCCGCGTGCGTCTTTGGGTAACCCGAAGACGAAATCCATTGAGATGGATTCCCAGCACTCAGCCGGAACCGGTAGAGGCTGTAAAGGTGCACGCAGTGAAGGACTTGACTTCACTCGTTGGCAGACTTCGCATGCGCGAACATACTTTCGCACAAACTGATACTGGCGGGGCCAGTAAAAGTCTCGACTTACCGTGAGATATGTTTTCTCTCGGCCACGATGTCCTCCTATAGGAGCATCGTGATACTTGAACATGATCCGCAAACGCAGATCAGTATCATCTGGAATGACAACACGT